CGGCGCCGTCCCCAGCGTCGGGGTCCCGGTGGTCCTCGCCGGAGCTCCTGCCGTGCCCAGGCTGTGAGCAAGCTGGGAAGAGCCGGGGTTGTGATCAGCAGCTGAGGACGGGCTGTGGAGCCAGGCTTGGGCGCTCCGGCCGGCCGGCGCGTGGGGAAGGCTTGATCACCGCCTGTAAACGTCTGCCAGCAAAGACGTGAACCAGAGGCTCTTCAGCCGACCGGGCAGGAGCGCGGCAGCAGCCGAGGGCTGGCCGTCAAACCCAGGCAGCGGTGGAGCGCAAAACTTCCAACAGCAAGCATGAAACATTAGCATTAGTGATGGGGAGTTTCCTGGGGCTGGAAAGAGACTCTTTGCCCCAGGAATATTTTTAATCCGAATTTGATGCGTCTCTGGTAATCACAGCTGCTGGGAGCGGGCAGGGAGGGATTCACACGCTTTCCAGCCTGGGCTTTCCTGGAGTTTAACACGAGCCAAGCGGTCCCTGGGATGCCCGGCAGCCTCATCCTCCTGCCCTCCTCCAAAACCTCTTCAGTCCTTCCTGCTCCCTGCGATAGCTCTGGGGAATTTGCAACGTGAGCAAAAGAAAATCGTTCCCTTCACCATTCTGAGTGGAAAATGGGGAAATTCAGCTGAAGCTGCTTTCACCCCTCTCGTTCGGATAACTGGAGCTTCTCCCAGGCAGCGAATATCATGCAGGAAAACAAGCCCGTGAAGTCGGGACTGTACTGCTGGCTGCGTGGGCACACAGGCAGGATCAGCCAAGGCTCGGGGTCCCGAGGCCACATCCCTGCCTAAACATGAGTAACTTGGGCTGAGAGAGAAGATGACGCTTTGTGAAGCCCTGCGTCCGGCACATGAGCGCAGTGCAAATAGCAGCAGCATCCGTGTTCCTCCTTCTCATCCATGTGGCTGCCTGCGGACCCAGCCGGGTGAGGAGGGCGTGCAGCCCCCAGGCTGGGAGAGCCAGCGGCCCCCTTCTCCCTGTGCAGCTCAGCTCACTGGCATCAGCTTTCCCAAAATAGCCGTCCTTGGGGCAGGCAGGGGCGTTATCTGATCCTGTGGCTGCTCTTCTCTGCCCTTGGGCTGCTCAGCGGCGTGGAGCTCTCCGAGGAGCCTGAAGGAAGTGCCGGACGATGTCTTAGCTGAGGAAACGCAGTCTGGGAAGGGATGTGCGCAGCCCAGGAGCAGCATGAGCAAGAGAAAATCCCCTTAAGGAATGACATGGAGAGCGGGCCGCTGACTGCACTGCACAGGCCACGCTCAATGGACCGTGGATGCTTTTGCTGGAGTGGGGGTGGAGATGGCCGGCAGAGCATCCCTTTGCGTGGGGTGCTTGGCATGGAGGCACCACGGGTGCAAGCTCTGGCTTGCTGGCACTGCCAAGGCGATGGAGCAGAGCTTGCTGCCGCCCCATGCGCCTTCAGCCGGTGCCTGTGCCGGTGCCAGGCTCTCATGCTGCCTCCTGGCGCGCCCCTGCTCCTGCCTGGATCTGCTCACACCTGGCAGGCATCAGCTGCCTGCGTCTTCCAGCAGCCCCAGGGGCCGTGCTCGGAGCCAGGCCTGAGACTGATGTCTCTGTGCAGGGTGGCATGGGGCCA